ATCAGTCCCTCAGCAAATGATCTGCCGGAGGGGAGGGGGGGGGAGAGGCGCAGATGATGTAAAGTTAATGAACCGAAAAGAAAGCGCAAGGATAGAAGAGTTGTCGAATAAGTGGCTGATGGAGTTAAATCTAAGAAAGTATCAAGTTAAGATGACTTACGAAATCGTAGGAAGACGATAGCAAACATTTTGGTGGCTTTGAAGGGACTTGAGCTAGATTACGTCACACCCACCGTGGTGTGAGATTCGTCTGTAACAACCTACACTTGTGGTCACAGTGGTGGCTTATTCTAACCTTCCTGTGATGTATAGAACTATAACTAGTTGGATGAATCTTATTAAAGCCAGTTGAGCCTAGTGGTTAACGCACTGGCCTTTGAGCTTTCAGACTCACTTGCCATCGGTTGAAGCCCTACCCGTTCCCTGATTTGCCAAGACAAGCAAATAGAGAATAGAACGAAAAAGACCTGAGAGAGGAGAATTTGGAAGGATTCTGCAGAAATCATCGAATAAAGACGTGGGAGCGAACTTCATACCAGACATGTGGTACTGAACGTACCTACTGAGGTGAACATCGACTCACGTCAACAGTGTGAATAAAATTATCCTTTTAGCTAAGATCCCATGGTACTGTAGATATCTTCTACAACTCTACTGCTAACACCTAGACCAGCCTAGGCAACGCTGATAAGCGTTTTTGATCGGCATACAATACAGACAAGATGAGAATTAGACACATGTGCAACATCTGGGTATCTTTAATGTAGACATTTCGTCATCCAGTGGCTTTATCAATATAAATTCTAGGACATAATTTGAAGACAGTAGAACTATATACAAAAGATGAGATAATCAGTCCCTCAGCCTTGAGTTGGTGTGAAGAGCACCATACCGGGCTGAGGGACTGATTACCTCAAGTTTTGTATATAGTTCTACTGTCTTCAAATTATGTCCTAGAATTTATATTCATAAAGCCAATGGATGGCGAAATGTCTTCATTAAAGACTTCATTAAGGTGCTTCATCAGAGCACTCAGAGCACGGAGTTCCCACTTGATCCAATATGTTCGGAAGAAAATATAAAATATCAAAAGGTTTATAGCCAGATTTGTTCCGTAACTGAAAAGGAAACACAAGGAACAGAGACTAAACTAAATCTAACAACCTTGGAAGAAAGACCAGGAAAGATATAACTATGTTCAAGTCTTACACCAGCCAGGAACAGATTCTCAACGTTTCCTCCATCATTTACCTCCTCGGCTTGATGTATTTCTCCATACAAAAAGATTATCGCCATCATAAAGGGACAGAAAATAAATTATAATAAATTATTCATGTTTTGTGCAAAAATAGCACACAAATATTCACCCCTTGCCATGTAATTTTTTACCCCCAGGGGGTAAATTTACCCCTGGTTGACAATCACTGAATTCTAGAACAAGGGAACAAAGATGATAACTTAAAAAATAAAACTTTTCTAGGGGATGTAAAAAAAAACACTTCCTCAGTCTTCTGGAGGTAGGAAAGTGGAATGAGCTAGATGAGGTAGTGGTGGACGCAAACCCATTACACTGCTTCAAGTGTAGGCATGACAAGGCCTAAGAGACTAGCAATGAGTGATCTGTAGGTCACTGGGTAATCTTTGCTCAGTGGTGAGAGGAGGTTGCGTCCGAAGGAAGTACCTGGGTGGGAGTCCAGAACAGAACACGTCTTATAGGAGCATTTCTAGCTTCTGTTGCTCGTTGCTTACCTAGACGTAAGTAAATACCTGGGTATTAGGCACCTGCTGTGGGATGCAAACTTGGAAAATAGACGAATCAGACAATGAAGACTGGACGTCTTCTGTAAATCTACGCAGGTAATTACAAACACCTGAAAACACACACACACACACACACACACACACAACACACACAAGCCACACCTACATATCCTTACATAATCCATGCACACCTATACCTGCATACAAGTATGCTGTGTACACACCACATTTGTATATCCAACGTATTTACACACCCATCATACATGTATGCATACTAGACCTACACAACAAATATATTCCATATATGTATGTATGCGCGCGCGCGCACACACACACACACACACACACACACACACACACACACACACACACACGCACACACACACACACACACAGGCACACACACACACACACACACACACACACACACAACACACACACAAACACACACACACACACACACACACAAACCTGCGCATAAAGCAAGCTTGAAGGAAAGGACACCTCATCAAATAATAGCTTAGATTCTAAATTTAAAATAAAACTAGAATGATTTTACGCCTTGTCAACGTTGTCTGTATGATACACTGCAAAATAATTCATAATGAACCATCACTGTGACTTTTTGGTACATTGCCTGCGATTAATGCAAATTTCAATGTTCACATTACGGCCGATCAACGCCACTTTCAACAAACATTACCTTCGTTAAACACCCTTTCCAATATTCCCATTACGTTTCATCAACGCCGCTCACATCACTTGCAATCAACGCCCGTTCCAATGATCACATCACGTTAATCAATGCTAGTTTCAACATTCACATCATGTCCGATCAAAATAAATTCTGAAGCAAACATTACCTTTGATCTCAAATAAATGGTTTAGAAAACAAACCAATAAATAAATCAGACACTTGTACAACATCTGGGTATCTTTATTCCTGAATAAATATACCCAAATGCTGCACATGTGTCTCATTTATCAATTACCTTTGATGATCTTCAGTTCCACTGAACAACGTCTCCTAAGACCACCGCCATTTCCGATACGTATTATTCCAACCTCTCAGATAACAAGTAGGATCACCAGCTGGATCATACCAGCTGGAGGTTTCAAATAACATCACAGTGTGAAGATAAAAACCACTGAGGTAACAAGTGTCTTTTAATATCGCCAGAACTAACTTACTTTCGAAAAAAAATATATAATGTAAATGGTTCGACGAATTTATATTTTTCGTAGCCTCCACTACTGTTTTTCTCCACTAGGTTGCTGTAATGCAATTTTTGCTGTATTGTACGGTACGTTGCTGTATCTCTTGTAAGTTGCTGTATCTTATTGTATGTTACTGTATCTTGTTTTGAATGCTGCTTTATCGTGCTGTATGTTAATGTGTATTAAGAGTATGCTGCTGTATATTTGAGATTCTGTGTGACTGCTCTCTCTCTCTCTCTCTCTGTCTCTGTCTCTCTCTCTCTCTCTCTTCTCTATTCAATAACTCACTGTTTCTAGTCAACTTGATCAGGTATTTACAGCAACAGTGGCAGTAACATGATCAGCAACAGTAGCATCAACAATACCAGCAACGTTACAGTTTAAGCAGCGGCGAAATAAACAGTAACTTTTTTTTACTGGCACAAAACCTTTCACAATTTCTCGCACATTACTATGTTTTTTAGTCAAATTGAAATATTTCTGGCACGAGAGTTGATCTTATATGGCACTAGAATATTTTTGTGAACAGAATGATAACAAAAATCACTAACTGAAAAGCAATGAATGAACACCTTGACACCTTGTATGGTAACTGTTAACCTCACCCGAAGAAACCAACCGCTAATTCCCCACTCCAACCGCATCCTCGCGCCCACTCTGCCCACTCTCACCCTTCCCACCCACTCACCTCTCCCACCAATCTACTCATCAACTTACAAATCCACTCGCTAGCTTTTCCAACCACTCACTAGCCCACCAACCCACCAGATCTAACATGCACGAACCCACCAATCTACACCCACTCCAACAACTCTCCCATCCATCTCACCCTCCACTAGAGGCCAACTCCGAATTCTACAAGTGCGTTGTACGAGTTAGTGCTCGAGCACCAGTTGATCACCAAGAATTATATCATAAATTATATACTTTAACATTTAAAACTAACATTTCTCCCTAATAACAACTAAAGCTTTAACCTAAATTCCATTAGGCAATTAATTTGGCTAATTAAATACGCCCAATAAACGAAAATATTAAAGTTATGGAAGTAACTTAGTTGAGTAATTAGCGCATTACAGGGCAGACAATTAGCTAAACAAATCGTTGGCAATCGCAGGGAAGATTTAGAAGAAAAAATCTAATCGTATCTGTGGCGCTCATGATTATCAATTATAGAATTCGGAGCGGAGCATAAACTCGATTAATTGTACACATTGTCTCTGCCCCAACACACACTGGACTGATTGTTCGGAAGAGTGAAGGTTTGTCTGGGGGAGGGTGAGATAGACAGGGAACTTCCTGATGCAACACTAGTGGGGAATGGGATGAAAAGTGACTGAAACGTGTTGAGTGAAAAGCATTAGTGTGGCCGAGAGGTGAACCAGCTGAAAATATAATTGAGAGAGAGAGAGAGAGAGAGAGAGAGAGAGAGAGAGAGAGAGAGAGAGAGAGAGAGAGAGAGAGAGAGAGAGAGAGAGAGAGAGCGGGCGAGCAATCAATAAGAGACTGAGAACTGCATGTTACCTTGCTCATGTCGCATGATAAGTGCATGTTGTTGTCGATGTTGTTGTTGTTGTCGTCGTAATGATAGATCAACAGTTCCCGACAAGTCTTCATTATCTAATGTATGTGTTATTTGTTTAAGGTAAATTTATACAGTGCCGTCACTTCTCCACTGACTTGGCAATACTACAAAACATTTCATTGTAAGAGATGTCATTGCTAGAGCATCATTTTCTGCTCCTAGCATAATATAGCTTCATTGCTTCACCTACAACAGCATAGTAAATATAATTTATTTAAAAATAAGAGCTGGAAAAAAATATATCTGCTTCATACCTTTTAACTATAAACACAAAAAAGTGGAACAGTATACGAGTGTATACTTTTATGAAGTTAGAAATCAGGAAGTGGTCCTCTCTGCCAACCTCCTGGACCAGAAGGAACAAGGCACCACTGGTTTAACTAATATTCTTTATTCTTCCTTCCTCCTCCTCGTCCTCCTCCTTGCACGTCCCCAGCCACTCGACTCGCCTCCTGGCCGCCACTACATTGAGGAACGTCCTGGGTACCCGCAACCTGGCTGAGATTCTCAGTGAGCGAGAGTCCATCTCTGCCACCATGCAGAGTTCCCTGGATGACGCTACTGACCCTTGGGGCGTCAAGGTGGAACGCGTGGAAATGTGAGTTTCTCCTGGTAAATGTGACAAATCACTTGGATAAATATATAGAACTTACTTAAAAAATTGATATCTGTATATTTCGAACACAAAGATTCACTTCGTGAACCCTTGTTTCAAATTTTACAAGTGGTTACACACTTAAAATCGATCAGTGTTTATGCTGCTGTAATCCCAGTTTCTCCGGTAATACAAGGGACAACTGGAAGGATGGATTGTGTGTTGCTGTGAGTAATGATTTTTTTTATCTAACACTATTTTTTTCTCCCATACAGCATTAAGAGAACGGAAGCAGACTGGTATACCTGTGTGTTCCCTTCTGAAGGAAGATTAAAATTACTTTACAATATCCTCACATTGTGGTTGATTTATTATCTATAGGTAATTTAACACCTACATAACTGAGTGCACACACACACACACACACACACACACACACACACACACACACACACACACACACACACATTATATACACTCTTATGGAGACAGCCTCGCTAGATAATTAATGGTGCTATGAAGCAGAAATTTTACGTATAATAATTTATATATATACTGTATTTAAATGTGATTCCATGCTAGGCATCATCTTTTGTATATTTATTAGTTATTAGAGGTGCGATGTGTGTTATGATTTATTTACCACTTTGATGATTAATGCTTCAAAGAACCGACAGGATTATGAATTAGACACTTGTTGCAACACTGTTGCACAAGTGTTTAATTCATCATTTACCACTGTCATCACTGTAGTTGCTTCGCCTTGCAGCAAGGATGTGCGTCTGCCTGTGCAACTGCAACGAGCCATGGCAGCAGAAGCTGAGGCAGCGCGAGAAGCGAGAGCCAAGGTGATCGCGGCTGAGGGTGAACAACGAGCCTCGCGAGCTCTCAAGGAAGCCGCGGATGTCATCAATGAGTCTCCAGCAGCACTCCAGGTACATCTCAGCACCTCTCCACCCTCTGCTCCACATCTCCCCTCCTTCCTACCCTTAAACTAACAGATTCTCCCCAATCATCTCCCTACTTGAAATTTCCTCCCCATTTCCCCCTCAAACCCTTCGCTCCCACTCAGAGTAGTTAAACCTCACCTACGAGGCGTTGAACTACGAAGGTCGCGACCCCGACAAGGGACTCTTGGCTCGGTTCCTGAAACACACCTCCTTCAGTAGCCATGTTCACTCCTCTTCCTCCTGCCTCGATTCCGACAAGTTGTACACGTCTCAGGGGCTACTAGCTTTGCCGGTCAGTGTATGGAATGCTAAATTTCTTCCTCCCGACAGATCCTTGGAGATAAATCTGCTTTGTATTAGCCAGACCACAGCTGAGGTAAACAACTTGTTGCTCGGACTCGAAAATGACTAAATTCAATATTAATGACAATACTATGCTAAATAAAAAGCACAGATACTCACAAATAGCATATTGCCAACAAATTTAAAATTATTCTTAATTTAAGAAAAATGAGATTTTGAGATCTGAAGTGAGGAATGAAGAGGAACTAGGAATGAGGAGGCAGCAGGTGCCAGGAGCCAAGGAAACTTTGATAATCAAGGAGACCAGAATAGCCGAGGGGACCTGGGTAGCCAAATGGCCGGGCTTAACCGTGGACACCCTGAGAGCTAATGGGCCCCCGTTAGCCAAGGAAACCTTGTGGCCAAAGAAGCCCAGGTAGCAGGGGAGACCCTGACAGCCAAGAGGTTTCCGGTCCCCAAGAGGATCCTGGAAGCCAAGGTGTCTGTCGTGCGTGTCGCGGCTTCTCAGTGAAAACGTCACAGACTATCTGTTGCCTAGTATATTCAAAGTTTTCTCCCGTCATAGCTTCTTGCTTCTGTCATTGAGTGGGTCTTGATGCCCGTCTGTGTGTTTATAGTCCATATTCCCCTCCCATTTCCTACCCCCAAATGTCTGTCTTCCATGTGCGTGTCTTTTAGTAGTGAGGGATTTACAGGTCTACACAACAACGCCTTTGATGCTTATAGTGTAGGGGTCGCGGGGAGCGAGTCCGTGGGGGACGTGGGGTCATACTTGACCCCTGCTTTACACACACCTGACCTCCCTGACCCCCTGCTTCACACTCTTGATCTTAATCCCTGCTTCACACACTTGAACTCCCTGACCCATGCTTTACACACCTGACCTAACCCACGCTTTACACAACTGATCTCACTGACATTTGCTTCATACTCACCTAAGCTCTGCCTCACACATCTAACCTTCATACACAGGGACCGAGGTCATCTCAGAAATTTAGCAAAGATCATACTCGCTACTTAAACACTCTCACATATTGTATTCGAGGAAAATTCTAACAAATCCAAGTGGATTAAGGCGTTTGACACTCAAGAAATACATTAAGTCATTGTCAAAGTAGGACGACCCTGGAAATGTTCGAGGCAGCAGAGATATCACAGGGGAAAAAAAACAGAGGTAGAATGCGATGCGGACTTCATGGAAAACGAAGGTACGCGTCTAAATGGAGTAAAGTCCTCTGTCTCACTAGACACAATAGTGTCTGGGAAGACCACCTTTCATATTAGACACAAGGGAGTCTTGGATAGCCATCTTCCTTGCTATTGTACTAGAAGGACATGTTCCATACCAGAAACAAAAGGGTGTCTAGGAAAGGCAGCTTCCACGATAGTCAGAGGTGTCTACTGAAGTTATCTTACTCACAAAGCACAATAGCATGTATGACGGCCTTTTTTTTCACAAGAATCATGAGTGTCTACGACAGCTCTGTCTCACTAGACACAGAGCTGTCATAGTTGATGTCCGCTGGACATCAACTATCAAATGTTTCCTATCTAATCACCAGAAAGATTCATGGCATCTTCGCTGCTCTTCAGATTGAGGACCTTCACTTTGATTCCCGGACTCTGCAGAGTGTACTCCGGTGGCCCAGGTAGTAAAGACAATTCAGGAGTTACGTATCTGCGTATCAAGCATATAGATACTGGTGCGAAGGCCACGTCGGGGTCTCAGATAATGAGTAGCGTTATGGTGATAGATGTTTCGTTGAGCACTCTTAATAGCAGTGACTTGATGTGCAACAATTCTAGTGAATTGATGTGCAACAGTTAGGTATCTTTATTCCGAAACCTTCCGGCAACAGAGCAGGCTTCTTCAGTCGAAAACAGAGGAGGCAGCATAAGCAGTAGAGATGTAAAAACGATATAATCATTCCACCCTGAAGATGTAGCTTTGAGGTGGTCAGTCGGAATAAAAAAAAATCTTAACTCTTGCCCATGTGCCATACTTGTCAACTTGTCGGTACCGTATACCATGATCATATTCACATTATAGTGACTCCTTGGTCTACATGTATCGGTTTGCCTTTCGAAACTGGTAGGCCAGTTGGTTAATACAGCGAACCAACAAGCTCTAAAGTGTTCACTAGATCGGGTTGATTCTCTGTAGACAGAGAACTGGACACACAATCACTCACAGTCGCCTGCTCTTGGGTGATCATGCCTTTCCATGCGCAGGTCGTGTTGTGTTATTGATTAAGAGTTGCCAGCATCTTATACCAGTGAGTTCTGAGACCTCGCTGAAGTTTCAGAGAATTCTTTTGATACCTTCTTTTTTATCTGACAATGGATATTTCAACTAAGTGTCGAAATAAATGTTTTTTCGGGTGCTTATTTGTGAGATTTTTTTTTCGGAGGTTTATGTATACAAGGTTCGGGGGACCTGGAGTATACCTGGAGAGGGTTTCGGGGGGTCAACGCCCCCGCGGCTCGGGGTGGATCAGGGTCTGATCAACCAAGCTCTTACTGCTGGCCGCACGCACGCGGACAGTTCTGCATCTCAGTTAAATAAGAGTCCTAAGAAAGTGAAAAGAAAAATAGAATAAGAATTATTTAAGAACAGGCAAGAGTAAAGATAAGTGTAAACTGAATGTAAGTAAAAGTTCCTAACATTTATTATATCTTTTGTCTTCAAGAGAAGATAAGAATCAGTCATGCCAGAGCAGAAAATATTTTACAGGTTTCTGTTTTTTTGGGTTCTCTTGCACAACCGTTTTATCTTGCGAGTTTGTGGTGCGAGTGGGTTTCTGTCAACATTACTGAAAGGGGGGATGACTGACCCATTCGTTCGAACACTTTGTAAATTTAATAACTCTCTTCTTTGTTACACACAAGGGTACTTAGGACTCCTCCTTTGTGAAGCAAAGGTGCCTGAGACTTTCCCATAATTCTCTAGACACGATGATGCCTAGAACCAACCGCTTCATCTCTAGACACAAAGGGTGCTTAAGACGTACCTCTTCTTTGCTGGACACAAAGGTGCCAAAGACTTTCTTATTCTTTAGTAGACAGAAAGGTGCCTGAGCCTTCCCTGTTCTTTGCCAGGCATAGCGATGCCTGAGACTCCCATTTTTATATTTTTTTCCTAGTCACAAGAGAGAACTAGCACAGCTTTCTTGCTCGCTACACACAGGGAGAACTAAGACCTTCCATTGACTCTCTCTACCAACAAGACAGTGATTCCCTAATATTGCACAAGTGTCATTTATCAGGGCAAATATAAATTATCAGGTAACTGCTACATTCTGAAGGTTCACAAGATAACGAGCGTACAAGTTACGCATTAAGTTAGTGAATCCAAGTAGGGAGATTCTCCTGGTGATGTTCGTGTTCCTCGCGTTCGTGAGGGACACGAACTGCAAATGTTTGTACACTGTTGTTATCGTCATATACACTCCAGCCATTACCATCATCACAGAGTATATTGCAATACATCATACCACATTGTATGCTACACAGGAAGACTTGTATAGAGAAAAAGAGAAGCAGTCATAGATACGTAGAGGTGATTGTTGGTTTAAGCTTAATCTCAAAAACTTCAGAAAACACGTGAATATAATACTCAATCTATGCGTTATCCCTCATTAGGTCATAGAGGAAGATTGTGACGCTCGCGTTTTCACAGAAAACTTACAGAAAAAAAAACTATTACATTAGAAAGAATAAAAAGGCTCAATACCGTAACTGGAACAATACACAACAGGAGAAAGAAACTTGTGACGACGTTTCGGTCAGAGTTGAACCATTAACTAGTCACACAGTGTGTAGTATTACATTAACTAGTCACACAGTATGTGTAGTATATTACATTAGCATTCAACTTAGTTTTACCTCATTTTTTGACGATAAATCACCAAAAAAGGTGTTTGAATTAAGAATTCGTCTTTAATTAATATATGTCTGGCTGAGTTTTATAGATTTGGTTATATATTGTCTTACTTTGACGCCAGGAAGTCGAATAATAAGCTTAATGTCTACCAGAAGTTAAACTCTCCAGGACGTCTTGCCAGTGACTGTACTGTCTTGATGGCTTTGAATCCTTAATAGTGGCTGGTCTTACCTAAGGTCTACAGACTTCTCTCTGGTGGCTGGTCTTACCTAAGGTCTACAGACTTCTCTCTGGTGGCTGGTCTTACCTAAGGTCTACAGACTTCTCTCTGGTGGCTGGTCTTACCTAAGGTCTACAGACTTCTCTCTGGTGGCTGGTCTTACCTAAGGTCTACAGACTTCTCTCTGGTGGGTGGTCTTACCTAAGGTCTACAGACTTCTCTCTGGTGGCTGGTCTTTCCTCACGTCTCCAGAATTCTCTCCGGTGGCTGGTCTTTCCTCAGGTCTCCAGACTTCTCTCTGATGGATGGTCTTTCCTCAGGTCTCCAGACTTCTCTCTGGTGGCTGGTCTACCTAAGGTCTACAGACTTCTCTCTGGTGGGTGGTCTTTCCTCAGGTCTCCAAACTTCTCTCTGGTGGCTGGTCTTACCTAAGGTCTCCAGACTTCTCTCTGGTGGCTGGTCTTACCTAAGGTCTCCAAACTTCTCTCTGGTGGCTGGTCTTTCCTCAGGTCTCCAGACTTCTCTCTGGTGGATGGTCTTTCCTCAGGTCTCCAGACTTCTCTCTGGTGAGTGGTCTTT